ACAGTTCGAGACATTTTCTTTCTTAACACTAAGAATCTGATTAATTACTGTCAGTGTAAGAGCTCTGCAGAAACCCATGTGGTTCTTTAAATAGTTTCATGTAGCTTTTTCTGCAGATTAAAAAAAAAAAACTTCAAAGTGTGCAAGATCTAATCAAATAAGTAGCCTCACTTGTGTAACGGAGGGATTTCCTTTGTCTGGTCTTGGGACCAAGCTGTGCTTCTCCGAAAGCAGATGGACGAATACATCAGAGAAGCCTTATGGGTCATCTCATTTGTTTATTAATTCTTTTACCATAAATCTATAAGTGAGATAGTTCTATTAAGTAGTTCTCCTGAATATGGGAGAAGCTTTAAACAGTTTTGCTTTATTATTAAATACATTGCAATAATACAACCAACCCATCAAGTATTCAAGTGCTCTAAATTCTCCTGGCAATTCACGGCATCTTCCAGAACCAGATTTACTTGGCCTTAGCTAGATAAATCCAACTTTTGCATCTGATAGCTGCTAAAGAAGATTCCCCAAAATTGTCTATACTGAAAACATGACAGATCAGGGAAATTATAAAAGCACAGTCTACAGTTCTATTGCCCAGATTTTTTTAATATACATACATATATATAAACTCTATTTCAGGTAAGCCTCAATAAGATCTTAAGCTCCCTCTGTGGCAGGAGCTAGAAAATTCCTTATTCCCTGAGCTCTGAGAGCACCTTGCACCATTTCTGCATCTTAAGATATAAACAAAGAGCTGGGTTAATTTCCAACCATCTTATACACTGTAGGAAAAAGAAAATGACAAATTTAAAGTTGAACTTCAGATGGTGACACAAGCAGCTGCAATACAAAGATGACCATATTCTTCAAACCTTTGACAGTTTTGATGTTAACAGCAATCACAAGCTCTATTTAAAAAAGAAAAAAAATTACTTCAAGACTGAAAATAAATTGCAAAAGAAAAATAATCACCATTAAATAGCAGAAGACTGTTGTGCAAAATTACTAAAGCAGTCTCATTTTGAAGAGTTTTATATTCCTCACAGAGGCATATGCTTTAAAACAGTGACAGGAAGAGAGCCACCTACATTCAGCCAAACCACTGACCACAGGCAGGCAATAATAGGGCTCGCTATTTTCAGGCACTAACCTTTTTCTCTCCCACTAAAAACAGTTTTCTAATTCAGTATAGGTCCAAAATCCCATAAATGTTATGGTTGGCAAAGTTGGCAGAGTTTCAAAGACATTGCTAGAATGATATGTTTCAAATCTAAGAGGAAATAAAAGTATTCTCGCTTTATCCTTCATCCAAAAAACACATACTTGTGCAAAACTTCACCCTCTCTACCTTAATCTTCCAATGCATACCAGATGTAAACATCCACTTTCAACGCAGAGTACCATATGTTACAAAAATACCCACCAACCCATGAAGTTAAAAAGTAAACCAAACCACTGAAAGTGCCATCAGATTAAAGATAGAGCCCCCAAGACTCCCCACCTCAGAGTTGAAAGCTCATTCCGAAAATCGTGCTCAGACATATTTTAATGACACTAAATTGCTTTCCATCTCATTAGAGCAAAGGAAAACAATAAAGAATGAAACAAAATATAAGCAGCCCATTAATAAGTTTTTCAAGCCTTTATTTACTAAATACTATTATCCATACTTTTAAAATCTTGCAATGTAAATACTGAAGGATACCTTGTCTAACAAGTAGTGAAAGATTTACAAACCTCTCTTTTGCTATCACCTAATGAGGCTCTTTAGTACTTCGGAGAGGTGAGCTTGGGAAATTTTAGTCAGTCATGGAAAATAACTAACTAAAAAGATTTGTCAGAGAAGGGATTTTGATTCAGAGATTTTAAACTCAAATAATGCTGCAACCAGAAAGAGACAAGCATTATGCATCACCATTAAACACCACTCAGGAATTGCAATTACATTTAAATGAAATTCGTAAATGTGTAATTTAAAATTTATATTAGCTTCAGTATTTTAAGATTAACACTATCAAAATCAACACAGCAGTGTGCAGAGCCCAGTTTTGACATCAGAGGCTAGAGCAAATCCTTGGGAGCTCTGCCGAACTCGGTTTGTGGCGGCACACGGAGTCCCAACTTTAAGTTACTGTGTTGATTTTTGGACCAAAGTGTTTCAGCTACATCCATCTGCTTTCACATATATTTGGGCAATTATGTGGTTTGACCATATGGTACAAATGTGTTCAGGGGGCAGTACACACGAAGTATCTGACAGACTGTAAATTCACATACGGCCTTACCTCCCAGAAACTTATACCCAGGCTTACCCCAGAGTCCTGCCTACCGGCTTCGAGACTCGGTTTCAGTGACACACACGAGTACTTAAGACTCCATATGTATTATTTGTATTTAAAACTGCCAACACTCAGAATAATTAAGTCACGTTTTTCATCCTTGCTAATATGAAGAGTAAACACAGGATTTGGATGTGATGACTGGGGCTCCAAAACCCAGTCCTTGCATTTGTTGCAACAGCTTTCCAAACCACTTAGAGAAAGGGACAAGTGATCTTAGTGTTTATATTTACAAAAGACAAAACTCCAAAAAGGTGTGTGTATCAACCCAGGAAGAAAAGAAACATTGTGATATTGTTGTTACCAAAAAGGTTAATCCTTAAAACAACTTGAGGATATTTCCTAAATTATGACCTTCTAACAAAACTGACTGTATTTATCTAGCAACACAAAAAATATGGCTCAGACAGCTTAAATGCCAGGTTTTAAAATTAATTCCTATGGTTTTATTTGCAGGAAAAACACCATCTGGAAGTAACCAGCCTATACAACATATAATAATTGCCAAAGGCAATTCAAACTTCCTCAACCTTTGGGGGGTACAGGCCTCACCAGCTGCATAACTGAAAAAACCTAACAGTTTTCTTTAAGTTTCAAGAACAATCCCACCTTTCCCTGATGGGCCATAACCCAAAAGTTTATCCAAAGATATATGAAACACATACACAGTTGGATTTGAGTGCATGGAAGGCATGGATTTACTTTAAATTACACATTATCTGTGTATTTCAAACCAAGTAAAGAAAAAAAAGGGGAGGGGGGAACAGAAAAGGGCTATAGACCTACCTGCATGAGTATGCACCTCAAAACAGGATATTAAGAGAAAGCAGAGAACCTACAAGGAATGGAAAAAGGGACTGATCAGCAAGGAGAGCTGTCACTTAGAGGTCAGACTGTAGAAGTTAAATGAAAATTGCAAGAAGAAACAGCCAAAAAGAGAGAATTCTCAAAGAAAATTGAAAACAAATGAAATCTTTCTAAGAAAGAGAACAAAAACGAAGAAGTGGTGTCAAAAAGGAGTAGAAATTAAGAAGACAGACCAAATGTTAAATGAGCTTTTTGCATCAGATTTTCCTGCAAGAATGATGCTGTGTATGAGGACAGAGACAGAATACCTCATGAGAGCAGAGATAAAGAACCTGAAAATTACCACATCCATTACTGAAATGAAATGAGGCTGCTTAAAAAATTTCTGCCCAGGCATACAGAGAAAAATGGGTTATACATCAAAACTGCAAGCTCAGGAATGAGGTTTCTCAGTAAGACATTTAGGAGATGGTAGCCTAGGGCTGAGAACAAATGTTTAACCTGTGCCCAAAGAAGGCCCAGTAAACTCGGTGTTCTTCAATAGCTTGCAAGAGTAACCAACACCTGGCACATATGAGTGGAAAGGATATTTTACTAGCTTATCTTCCCTCGATTAAATTACATCTCTTAGTTAATGGTAACATGTAAGTACAGCATCTAGTACTGCACACACGGGAAAGCAAGTTATCGAGACAGAGTAAAAAAAATACTAGCAGTGTTCCTCAAGGGCCTTGTTTAGAACTTAGAATTGCTAACGTGGTAGAACACTAGGTCTTGGATGGCTGATGAAGCAAACGTTTAAAGTACTGCTAATGTGGTAAAGAATCAATTATCATACAGGAAGAAACAAAACCGTTTATGCCTAAGTGACAGAAATGGAATGAAAAATAATGGGAAAAATACTGCAAAGTCAGGAACTCTGAGACTGATGAAAGTGCCACCTGCAATTACCTGGGAACAAGGGAGGGAGAGGGACTGGGAATACTGGTTCACTGGTAATGAGCCACCAGTGGGAACGACTCGGGCAATTTCTAGATGGAACCAGTATTTTAGTAGGAGCGAGGAATACCTTTGTAGGAGGCATGGCATGACTTTGTTTGAAACACAGATGTTCAGAAACAGAGACAGGGTTAAAAATAGGTATCTAACTGACATAGAGAGCCATTACCACAATGATTTCAGATGAAGAGATCAGGCAGCCACAACTATAGCACTGTTGACTTGTGCGGGTGGTGTTAGAGGAAGAAACTCAACACAGACACCTGTAAAGTATGTCCCCAGGATAGGTTTAAGAAAAAC